CAGAGTGGAATGTATGATCGTTGCGAATGATCCTACGGTCAAGGGAGGAACGTATTACCCGATAACAGGTACGATGAGACGAGCAAACACTCGGTGTTTTTGCGGAATGAACAATGTTTGAATGAAGACTATGTGATTGTACACAGTAAAGAAACATCTACGTGCACAAGAAATTGGACGCGAGAACAGACTGCCTTGTATTTATTTAGGTAATTACTGCTCGACTTTGCTATACCTTTCTTAGGAACGAGATTAACAGATTCGTTGGAATTACATCAGTTGACTCTGGCGGAGCTAATTTACCTCGCCAAGCAGAAGTCTTTCCTGATCGCGATCATTTCGGACGTATATTTTTTAATCAGGTGAGATACATGTAACCATCTTTTGTAAACTAGTCTCATTCAACATCGTTCATTTTATATGCCACCTCAACCTTCTTTTGCCTTGGAAGGCTTCAATGTCATCAAAAAATATTCCCCAAATTGCTGTTGTTATGGGTTCGTGCACCGCGGGTGGTGCTTACGTCCCGGCTATGGCAGACCAGAGTATAATCGTCAAAAATCAGGGGACAATATTCTTAGCTGGTCCACCTCTGGTCAAAGCGGCAACGGGTGAAGTTGTTTCGGCCGAAGAGTTGGGTGGGGCAGATTTGCACTGTAAGTTCGAAATCTTGAAGACGACGGAAATAACACCATATATATCTATTGAGTTTTGTTAATATTGGGCGATATTTTACATCATTTTTATCGCTTAGGTCGAACCTCGGGGGTCACCGATTACTACGCTTCCAACGACGAACATGCGCTTATGCTTGCACGACGAGCCGTCGCGATGTTAAATCGGAAGAAACGCCCAGAGGTATTTCGATTTTAGTCACCATGTCGTCAAAGCACATCTCCATTCACATTGAACGTTCAATAGATTTATTATTAATTGCTTGATCCCTATCTATTGATACTTTTTTATTTTGTCAAAGATCGATGTGAAAAAACCAGAAGAGCCTTTGTATTCACCCTCAGAATTGGGAGGGATAGTTGGAGATAATCTCCGAAAGTCTTTTGATGTGAAGAATGTGATCGCACGAATAGTCGACGGAAGTCAGTTTGACGAGTTTAAAGCACTGTATGGAACGACATTAGTTACTGGTTGGAAAAAAAATTTTTTATGTCTTTGAACCCAATAAGTTAGTTGTTCTTTATTGCCGTTGTTCATTTTATAAAATCTTACCTGTGCAATCGCGCTCTACTATCAGGGTTTGCCCGCATATACGGTTACCCAGTAGGCATAATAGCAAATAACGGCATCCTTTTCTCCGAATCGGCCTTAAAAGGCGCACACTTTATCCAACTCTGTTCCCAACGCAACATTCCTTTAATATTTCTTCAGAATATCACTGGTTTTATGGTGGGATCATCGGCAGAGGCGGGAGGTATAGCGAAGAACGGTGCCAAAATGGTAACTGCTGTGTCTTGTGCCAAAGTACCCAAGTTTACCGTGATTATCGGTGGTAGTTTTGGCGCGGGAAACTATGGCATGTGTGGGAGAGCATACGGACCAAGGTTTTTATGGATGTGGCCGGTAAGGAACTGTGGAGATAGTGGATATAGCAAGGGGATGAAAACGGAATAGGAGTTACATGTAAGTTGGTATTAGAGTAAGTGACTGTGAATAGGATTTTTTGTGTCATTAGAACGCGAGAATCTCTGT